GGCTCGGTGGCTCAGCCTGTAATCCCATGCCTTGGGAGGCTGAGGTGAGTGGATTGCCTGAGCCCGTGGGTTCGAGACCCGCCTGGGCAACTTATCAAGACCTCATCTCTACAATAAATCAAAAAATTGGCTGGGTGTGGTAGCGTGCGCCTGTAGTTCCAGCTACTGAGAAGGCTGAGGCAGAAGAATTGCTGGAGCCCAGCAGGTCAAGGCTGCGGTGGCTGGGAGCAGCCACTGCACTCCAGTCTGGGCGACAGAGTGAGACTCCAACTCACAAAAAAAAAAAAAGTAAGTACATAAATATATAAATGAACTATATTGAGAGGAGATTAGAACAAAGCCATAGTACCTGGGACAGTGCATAAAATTGTGTGGCTGCCCATTGTAGAGATCATAATGGGTGATGTGAGAAGTCAAAGGAGGAAGCCTGAAATGGATGCAAGGCTGCTAGATGAGAAAGGAAGAAGCAAAGGAAAAGAAGGACAAGAGGAGATCCAGTCCAAGTTACTGATAATTAGAGGAGGTTGAACATTTTGAACCTTTTTTTTTGGGTCATTATCACTCTGTCACTCAGGCTGGATACAGTTGATCAAGGTTCACTGCAGCCTCAAACTCCTGACCACAAGTAATCCTGCCACCTCAGCCTCCTGAGTAGCTAGGACTATAGTACACACCACCATATCCAGCTAATATTTTTATTTTTTGTAGAGATGTCTCACTATATTGTTCAGGCTGGTCTCAAACTCCTGGGCTCAAACAGTCTTCCCGCCGCAGCCTTGACCTGCTGAGTTCAGGTGATCCTTCCACCTCAGCCTTCCAAGTAACTGGAACCACAGGCATGTGCCACCATGTCCAGCTAATTTTTTGATTTATTGTAGAGAGAAGGTCTCACTATATTGCTCAGTCAGGTCTTAAACTCCTGAGCTCAGGCAATCCTCTTGCCTTTGCCTTCCAAATTGCTGGATTATAGGAGTGAGCCACCACACCCAGCATAGGGCACTATTTTTCAACCTTTTTTTCCCCCCTTAATCCATTCCCTCTTTGGTTAAAAATAAATCTTTAGCTGGATTCGGTGGCTCAGCCTGTAATCCCGTGCCTTTGGGAGGCTGAGGTGAGTGGATTGCCTGAGCCCGCGGGTTTGAGACCCGCCTGGGCAACTTGGCGAGACCTCATCTCTACAATAAATCAAAAATAGCCAGGCGCCTGTAATTCCAGCTACTTGGAAGGCTGAGACGGAAGGATCGCTGGAGCCCAGCAGGTCGAGGCTGTGGTGGCCGGGAGCGGCCACTGCACTCCAGTCTGGGTGACAGAGTGAGACTCCAACTGAAAAAAAATAAAATAAAATAAATAAATCTTTACTATTACCCCTGGGATTCTTGTATACCACCCTGTGACGGTCATGCAGCTACATAAGAATCAAATAAGGAGATTAGAAGGCTATAGGAGTGGTCAGGAAAAACTAGGGTACATTTGGTGGCAAATCATTAACCTTTTGCGGTTGACTCCAATGAAGAAGCCTTCCCCCTGTGAGTTTAAGGGTTCTACCAGCAGAATCGAGATAAAGGATCCAGAATAGCATAAAGATCTGGAGTGACGATGGTTGTATGAGAGCTGTCTGGGGAGATGGAGCACTACTGCTGGTGCTTGATTAATTAATAATGTGAGGGAGGGCAGCTTGGGCCTAGGGGGAGTGCCTCACCGGCACATAGGCCTGAGTCACAGATGGCCCAGTTGGCAACATGATGGTTCACCTTGGGAAAAGAAATAGGACACGGCCTTTCTTGGAATGGAGTAGCAAGTCTGATTCAGGAGAGCCTGGAGTATACTGAATAACTCGGAAGTGGGGGAATTTAGCCACCAGAAGGGGGCAGCACCTTCTTGGATGCGTGAGAGGCCTGTTAGGCAGAGTATTAGGAGGGTGGGGCAGAAGGGAGGTGGAACAGAGATAGTACAGTTTAGAAAAAAAAATTTTTTTAAAGAAATGAGGGCTTCCCTGGACAGGTGCTGATGTATGGACAGCCGTATCGCGTGACCTTAGAGCTTGATGTACCAGAGTCCCCTGTAAATCAAGATTTGGGCATGTTCTTGGTCACCATTTCATGTTACACCAGAGGCGGCCGAATCATCTCTACTTCTTCGCGTTCAGTAAGTGTTTATGGCTTGTCTGGAAGATGTGGAGGATGACAGAAGAATCAGTGTCTGAGTAGAGCTTCAGGAGAAAACATCCTTGGCTCTGAGGCCACAGTCATGTAAAGATAAGAAAAGAAGCCGGGCTCGGTGGCTCAGCCTGTAATCCCACGCCTTGGGAGGCTGAGGTGAGTGGATTGCCTGAGCCCGCGGGTTCAAGACCCGCCTGGGCAACTTGGCCAGACCTCATCTCTACAATTAAAAAAAACAAACAAACTAGCCGGGCGTGGTAGCGCACGCCTGTAGTTCCAGCTACTTGGAGGGCTGAGGCGGAAGGATCACTGGAGCCCAGCAGGTTGAGGCTGCAGTGGCCGGGAGTGGCCACTACACTCCAGTCTGGGCGACAGAGTGAGACTCCGACTCAAAAAAAAGATAAGAAAAGAAGAATCAACTTACTAAATCAGAAACATGCTACTTGGAGGGCTGAGGCGGAAGGATCACTGGAGCCCAGCAGGTTGAGGCTGCAGTGGCCGGGAGTGGCCACTACACTCCAGTCTGGGCGACAGAGTGAGACTCCGACTCAAAAAAAAGATAAGAAAAGAAGAATCAACTTACTAAATCAGAAACATGCTACTTGGAGGGCTGAGGCGGAAGGATCACTGGAGCCCAGCAGGTTGAGGCTGCAGTGGCCGGGAGTGGCCACTACACTCCAGTCTGGGCGACAGAGTGAGACTCCGACTCAAAAAAAAGATAAGAAAAGAAGAATCAACTTACTAAATCAGAAACATGCTACTTGGAGGGCTGAGGCGGAAGGATCACTGGAGCCCAGCAGGTTGAGGCTGCAGTGGCCGGGAGTGGCCACTACACTCCAGTCTGGGCGACAGAGTGAGACTCCGACTCAAAAAAAAGATAAGAAAAGAAGAATCAACTTACTAAATCAGAAACATGCTACTTGGAGGGCTGAGGCGGAAGGATCACTGGAGCCCAGCAGGTTGAGGCTGCAGTGGCCGGGAGTGGCCACTACACTCCAGTCTGGGCGACAGAGTGAGACTCCGACTCAAAAAAAAGATAAGAAAAGAAGAATCAACTTACTAAATCAGAAACATGCTACTTGGAGGGCTGAGGCGGAAGGATCACTGGAGCCCAGCAGGTTGAGGCTGCAGTGGCCGGGAGTGGCCACTACACTCCAGTCTGGGCGACAGAGTGAGACTCCGACTCAAAAAAAAGATAAGAAAAGAAGAATCAACTTACTAAATCAGAAACATGCTACTTGGAGGGCTGAGGCGGAAGGATCACTGGAGCCCAGCAGGTTGAGGCTGCAGTGGCCGGGAGTGGCCACTACACTCCAGTCTGGGCGACAGAGTGAGACTCCGACTCAAAAAAAAGATAAGAAAAGAAGAATCAACTTACTAAATCAGAAACATGTTGCCAAACACCCCAGATATCTGATGAGCATGCCCAGCTTTGGAATGAATTCTGAAGAGTGGAGTTGCTCAGAGAAAAGAGAGGCTTTAGAGCCAGGCAGATCTGGGATCGTGTCAGAAACAAGCTTACTGTGGGCCAACTGACTTAACTACTTGTGTCTAAAGTATTATAAAACCAGTATAATCGTAACTGCCTCATAGCAAGACTAGTTGGATTCAGTGAAAATGTAAAGTCTCTGTTAGCACATTGTGTTTGATAAGTGTTAGACTCCATTAGACTTCATTCTAACATGAATTATCAACAGAACCACATTATGAAGCGAATCCCTGATACCTACATGAGGGGAAAAAGCTTCAGATGGTGTGCACTGAGACTTAGATCTCATACTGTGGGGAAAGATTGGGCTTAACCCTGAAAGGCCTCTTAGAAGGAGGCCCATTGTATTAGAATGGAGGAAAGTGGTTGGGTAGAGGGAGCAGTTACTCAAGCAATTACAGTGGCTGAGTGAAGACTGGAAGGAAGGGAGTGAAGGTGAGGGAGCTAGGGACCTGAGGAAGAAGCAACTTTCGTAGACTGCTCAGGGGTGGTTGAGGGGTAGGTAAGGCCACAGGGCACTTGTCCCTAACCTCTCCCTTCTGTCGTGGGCAGGTGATGTTGCATTACCGCTCAGACCTGCTCCAGATGCTTGACACGCTGGTCTTCTCCAGCCTCCTGCTGTTTGGCTTTGCAGAGCAGAAGCAGATCCTGGAAGTGGAGCTCTATGCAGACTATAGAGAGAACTCGGTGAGTGAGGTGAAGGATCGTTAGCCCAGAATTCTACCTGAGGAACCTTTGGGCTCAGGAGGGACGGCAATAGAGAGGCTGGGAGTGGGCCTCAGATTAGGCAGTATCCTGACCTGACGCTGCCCCACTCCGATCCCTTTGCAGTATGTGCCGACCACTGGAGCAGTTATTGAGATCCACAGCAAGCGCATCCAAATGTACGGAGCCTACCTCCGCATCCATGCACACTTCAGTGGGCTCAGGTGAGGAGCCAAGGAAATGGACTAATGGCAAGTCTCATGGGGGCTGTCCTTTCATGAAGGGGGTCTCAAGCAGAGGTAACAGGTTTGAATGGGGTTTCACAAAGGCCAGAGGTTCTTAACCCTGGCTGCACATTAGATATCAGCTTCCTGGGGAACTTTTTTTTTTTTAAATAGTGACAAGGTCTGGCTATGTTGTCCAGACTGGTCTTGAACTCCTGGGCACACGTGATCCTCCCGCCTCAGCCTCCTAAAGTGCTGGGATTACGGGCGTGAGCCATCATGCTTGGCCAGGAACTTTTTAAAAACAAGCCTGGGCCCCACTCGAGACCAACTGAAGCAAAATTTGTTAGGTTCATGACTAGGCCTAGTCATGAACGAGGCTGCCCTCCCCACTACCCCCCCATCCTCTAGCAGCCAGTCTGTCTTCCCTCCACCCTGCCCACCCTTCCTTAGCCCCACCCAGCTGTCCAGAGCCAAGCACTCCACCCCTGCAAGCACCAGAATTTTTTAAAGCACTCCCAAGGAATGCTGATGTGCAGCCAGAGTTGAGAACTACTGTCTTGAACCACTGACTCACCAAGAGTTGGGGTGACTCTTGAGAGCCAAAATGGAGGCTGTTGCTTGTGGCCCTGAAATACTGAGATTTCTCATAGGTCTTTGGCCCTTATTAGAACCTGATGCAGCTGGTTCTGGTAAATGTGTGGGTGGAGGCAGGGAAGGTAGCGGCTGGCTCTAGCCAAACTCACTCAATTGCCCTAGAAATTATTTCTGGGAAATGAGAAGGCTAGTGCTCTTTGGTAACTCTTATTCCTTCCTGTCCCTACTTCCTGCCTCAGATACCTGCTGTACAACTTCCCGATGACCTCAGCCTTCGTGGGTGTTGCCAGCAACTTCACCTTCCTCAGTGTCATCGTGCTTTTCAGCTACATGCAGTGGGTGTGGGGGGGCATATGGCCCCGGCACCGCCTCTCTTTACAGGTCGCAGGGGGCAAGGGCCCCTTTTTTTTTTCCCCTTCATGGTCTCTGTTTGTGGGTGGGCAGGGGCATGTTGGCAGTTAGGTATGAGGCCCCTGATCACTGGGAGGGAAGTCAGTCCTCGCTGCTCAGTAGTTTCTCCTCCACAGGTGAACATCCAAAAAAGAGCCGGTTCCCAAAAGGAAGCCCCGCGAAGGAACTCTGCCCATCAGTCAGGTAAAGGTGTTGCTTGGGGGAGGTGTTGGGGAGGTGGGCTGGGCTGGGTGAGAGGGATGAGGCTTAAGGTACTCACATACTGAGCTGAAGGTCAAACGAGAGGCTGAAGGAGGCAAGGCTGGCACTGCCATCCACACACAGCCACCCTAACCTGTCTTCTACCTACTCTGGAGACACAGGATGTGAAGGCCAGGAGGAGCCAACCCAGCAATCGGATGTTACAGAGGATGGTGAGAACCCTGAAGACCCCTCAGGGATAGGTATGGTGCGGCTCCAGCATCCCCTCCTTCCTGCCACCTCCTTAGCTCTCCCCTTCAGGGTCTGTGTCTGACCTCTGCGCTCCCCTTTCCACTGCAGAGGGTCAGCTGTCTGAGGAGGAGAAACCAGATCAGCAGCCCTTGAGTGGAGAGGAGGAGCCTGAAGCCAGTGATGGTGAGGGGTGCCCTGCAGTGGGACCTGGGGGTGAGGGTGGGACCCCTGGTTAATCTAATAGCCCATTTGGGATTTTGTTTTTCCCTTTCCTGGCCCAGGTTCAGGCTCCTGGGAAGATGCAGCTTTGCTGACGGAGGCCAACCTGCCTGCTTCTGCTTCTGCCCCTGCCCCTGAGACCCTGGGCAGCTCGGAACCCTCTGTGGGTGCACTCCGACAGCGCCCCACCTGCTCTAGTTCCTAAAGAAAAGGGCAGATTCCTCACACTCCAGCACTTTCCCACCTGACCCCTTTCCCCTTGTTTTTCCTCCAATAAACTATTTTCGTGCCAGCTGCTTCCCTGACTCTGAAATGAATTTAGGGCCATTTGAAAACCCTGTGTCCCCCCAGGCATCTCCTACTCCCCCATTGGAGGAGGTCTTCCTGTCGGGGGCTACACACAGGAAAGCCTCTAGATCTGGGCTATTTTAAGCACAGCTGTTTCCATTCATAAGCCTAGGAAGCCCAAGGAGAGAGAAGCTGTCCTAGCCCCTAGCAGGCTTCTCTCCATCCACGTGACTCTCATCTCCCTCAGGGGAGGGGGACAGTGTAGGGCGGGTCTGGAGAACTGGGATACATCATTCTGGCCCCCTGTACACCCTCCCTTTCTCTGTCCATTGGGAGGCAGAAGACAGGAAATGACTGCCATGGATGTGGTAGGATTTTTACCAAAACAGCAGTTTGTAGCTCAGGCCCCCTGGCTGCTCACAGCTGTTTTCCTCTCTGATACCAGCCAGGTGTCCTCCTATGTTCCCCTCCCCATCTCTTCACATGACCAGCCTTTGGATTCTCAGCTCCTGGCTGCTTTCCACATTCCACTCCCCTTTCAGAACCCAGGCATCCTGGGCTCCAGCTGAAACCGCTGCATGTGGCTTTCCCCATCCCTGGCCCCGTGACTCAGGCCCCCGAAAGGCGCAGCCCGCTTTTTGGCAATCACCAGGGAGAGGGAGAGGAGGAGGGGGGCCTAGGTGGTGACATCACGGTTGACGAGTACAAAAGCTTCAAGCCAACACAGAATTGGAATTGAAGATACAACCTGACAGCACAGCTTGTGATCCTGGGGATCCCTCACCCGGATACTCAGACTTCTGGCAGCAGATTCCCACTGCATCAAGCCTACCCATTGGTGAGGGGCTGCCGTGAGCCAGGGAGGAGGAATGGGGACAGGCATGAGACGGGACTTGTACAGGCAACAGGTGGGGAGTGAGGATTCCAGGGTCCTTATGTCTCCCTCCTGTTTGATAGCTTCTTTCTCACTCTGACTCCTTTCTGGATTTTTGCTTGTGTGTCTGACTGATGCTTCTTTTCAAAGCACAAGTTAGTCTAATGCTGTCTCCAGCACTAACCTTATTTTACTAGATCTTTTCTCTGGATGGCAGCTGGGAATTATTCTGCCATTCTTCCCTGGGCTAAGTAAACCATTTCCTCCTCTCCCCCAGCACTTTGTTTATTCATTAACTTTGTAATGCTTAGCATATGCTGCTCACACTACTGTTTCATGTGCCAGATCATATTTTATTCCTTTGTATCCAAAATCAAGCCCATAGCCTGGATTCAGAAATTGGTTGACAATAAGTGTGTCTGCCTCAATCCCACTTCCTTCCTCTTCCTCTTGGTCTCCAGAGGTTTAGTCCAAGCAGGGGGCTTGCAAGGCTTTGGGCTGAACAGCCTTTACCTATCGACCCCTTCCCTTCCAGACTCCATGCTGGGCTCTCCCTGCCTTCTGTGGCTCCTGGCCGTGACCTTCCCCTTGGTTCCCAGAGCACAGCCCTTGGCTCCCAAAGACTTTGAGGAAGAGGAGGAAGATGAGCCTGAGACAGCGTGGCCACCTTTGCCGGACGTCCCCTGCGACTACGACCGCTGCCGACACCTGCAGGCGCCCTGCCAGGAGCTGCAGAGGGCCGGGCCGGCAGCCTGCCTGTGCCCGGGGCTCTCCAGCCCTGCCCAGCCGCCCGACCCGCCGCGCCTGGGAGAAGTGCGCATCGTGGCCGAGGAGGGCCGCGCCGTGGTCCACTGGTGCGCCCCCTTCTCCCCGGTCCGCCACTACTGGCTGCTGCTTTGGGACGGCAGCGGGACTCGGCAGAAGGGGCCCCTGCTGAATGCCACCTTCCGCAGAGCAGAACTCAAGGGACTGAAGCCCGGGGGCGCTTATGTCGTCTGCGTGATGGCGGCTAACGAGGCCGGCGAAAGCCGCGTGCCCCCGGCGTGGGGGGAGGGCCCCGCGGGAGCGGGCTTCCCGGCCTTTGGGCCCTGCGGCCGGCTCACCGTGCCGCCCAGGCCCCAGACCCTGGTCCACGCGGCCGTGGGGGTGAGCACTGCCCTGGCCCTGCTGAGCTGTTCCGCCCTGATCTGGCACTTCTGCTTGCGCGATCGCTGGGGCTGCCCGCGCCGCCCAGCCGCAGGGGTGCTCTGAAGGGGGCCTGGGGGTGTCTCAGGCACGGCTATGCCCCCCCGACCCAAGCACCCAGCCCGCTCTCTGGGAGGAAGGGGGGCCCGCGTCGGCCAGGGCAGGCTGAACGGCCAGCTGGAAGCCAACCCCAGGCGCCCCCTCACAGCTGAGACCTGGATCCCTGTGCAGTCCGGACTTGTGGCTTTGTTTCCAGGCTGAGTAGAGAGGGTCCCCCAGTTTTTTCTTAAAGGGCCAGATAGTACGCAAGTTAGCTGTTGTGGTTTGAGAGGATAAAATCTAGGATATTATATAGGCACTTATGGGACTTTGTAATCTTTTAAAAATGTAAAAACCGCGGGGCCTACTGGCACGTCCGTAGTCTCAGCTACTCAAGAGGGTGAGACAGGAGGATCCTTTGAGCTAAGGAATTTGAATCCAGCCTGGGCAACAGAGCAAGACGTACAGATCTTTAGTTAGCCAACCCCTATCATATAAACCCACAAAAGGGCTCTGTCACTGTGGGTGGCTTCAGTAGGATTTTGAGAATACGTTTCTGCAGGCCGGGAATGTGGGGCATGAAACCATCCTCTTCTGCTGCTGCCTTTTGTTTAGTTATTGTGGATGAGCATACCTGACATACCTGAGTCTGAGTCGCTTTGTCTGAGGAGGGTAGAAATAAATGACCGACATGGTGTGGAGAAGAGAGGGAAGGCCCAAGCTGCAGTCTGGAACAAGTCTGTGTTCTTGTTAGTTAAAACAAAACAAAAGTAATACCAAAACATTTATCTCTTTTTTCCTCCATTTGTGTTTATTGTATGTCTACTGTAATGACATTAAAGGACATTTCAAAAGAAGACTTTTTCATTTTTTATGATCCCTTTCAATTTCCTGCCCACACTTACTTTTAAGAGTAGTATACAGGCCGGGCTCGGTGGCTCAGTCTGTAATCCCAGCACTTGGGAGGCCAAGGCAAGTGGATTGCCTGAGCCCGTGGGTTCGAGACCCGCCCAGGCAATTTGGTGAGACCTCCTCTCTACAGTAAATAAAAAATTAGCCGGGTGTGGTAACGCATGCCTATAGTTCTCACTACTCGGAAGGCTGAGGCAGAAGGGTAGCTGGAGCCCAGCGTGTCGAGATTGCGGTGGCCGGAAGCGTGTCACTGCCCTCTAGACTGGGTGATGGAGTGGGACTCTGACTCAAAAAAAAAAAAAAAGCCGG